TGGGGTGGTGGGATTGGGAGTTGGGATTTTGGGATGAGATTCTGGATCCTGGCATGAGATTTTGGGACACTGGGATGGGATTTTGGGGCACTGGGATGAGATTTTGGGTTTTGGAATGGGATTTTGGAATGTTGGGATGGGATTTTGGGTCCTGGAATGGGATTTTGGGGCACTGGGATGGGATTTTGGGACACTGGAATGGGATTTTGGGACACTGAAATGGGATTTTGGGGCACTGGAATGGGATTTTGGGTCCTGGAATGGGATTTTGGGACACTGGGATGGGATTTTGGCTCCTGGAACGGGATTTTGGGACACTGAAATGGGATTTTGGGTCCTGGAAAGGGATTTTGGGACACTGGAATGGGATTTTGGGACACTGAAATGGGATTTTGGGGCACTGGGATGGGATTTTGGGTCCTGGAATGGGATTTTGGGACACTGGGATGGGATTTTGGGACACTGAAATGGGATTTTGGGGCACTGGGATGGGATTTTGGGGCACTGGGATGGGATTTTGGGACACTGAAATGGGATTTTGGGGCACTGGAATGGGATTTTGGGTCCTGGAATGGGATTTTGGGACACTGGGATGGGATTTTGGCTCCTGGAATAGGATTTTGGAACACTGGGATGGGATTTTGGGTCCGGGAATGGGATTTTGGGACACTGAGATGGGATTTTGGAAGATTGGGATGGGATTTTGGGTCCTGGAACGGGATTTTGGGACACTGGGATGGGATTTTGGAAGATTGGGATGGGATTTTGGAGCACTGGGATGGGATTCTGACTCCTGGAATGGGATTTTGGGGCACTGAAATGGGATTTTGGCTCCTGGAATGGGATTTTGGGTCCTGGAATTGGACTTTGGGACACTGGAATGGGATTTTGGAACACTGGGATGAGATTTTGGTTCCTGGAATGGGATTTTGGGACGCTGGAGTGAGATTTTGGGTGCTGGAATGGGATTTTGGGACACTGAAATGGGATTTTGGAAGATTGGGATGGGATTTTGAGTCCTGGAACGGGATTTTGGGACACTGAAATGGGATTTTGGGGCACTGGAATGGGATTTTGGGACACTGAAATGGGATTTTGGGTCCTGGAAAGGGATTTTGGGACACTGGAATGGGATTTTGGGACACTGAAATGGGATTTTGGGGCACTGGGATGGGATTTTGGGGCACTGGGATGGGATTTTGGGTTTTGGAATGGGATTTTGGAATGTTGGGATGGGATTTTGGCTCTGGGATTTTGGGGCACTGGGATGGGATTTTGGGTTTTGGAATGGGATTTTGGAATGTTGGGATGGGATTTTGGCTCCTGGAATGGGATTTTGGCTCCTGGAATGGGATTTTGGGTCCTGGAATGGGATTTTGGGACACTGAAATGGGATTTTGGAAGATTGGGATGGGATTTTGGAGCACTGGAGTGGGATTTTGGAGCACTGGGATGGGATTCTGACTCCTGGAATGGGATTTTGGCTCCTGGAATGGGATTTTGGCTCCTGGAACGGGATTTTGGGGCACTGAAATGGGATTTTGGAACACTGGGATGGGATTCTGACTCCTGGAATGGGATTTTGGCTCCTGGAACGGGATTTTGGGACACTGAAATGGGATTTTGGAACACTGGGATGGGATTCTGACTCCTGGAATGGGATTTTGGAGCACTGGGATGGGATTTTGGGACACTGAAATGGGATTTTGGCTCCTGGAATGGGATTTTGGCTCCTGGAATTGGACTTTGGGACACTGGGATGGGATTTTGGAGCACTGGGATGGGATTTTGGGACACTGAAATGGGATTTTGGCTCCTGGAATGGGATTTTGGGACACTGAAATGAAATTTTGCCTCCTGAAACAACATTTGAAACACCGACACAGAACTCTAGAACAACCTCCACCTCCCCCCACCCTTCCAACATCCCCAAAAAATCCCATTTTATCCCAGAAAAAAGGCGTCAAGCGGAAAGCCGACACCACCACCCCAACAACCACCGCCATCATCGCCACCAGCGGCGGCGAATCCTCCCCTTCCATCCCCGAAAACCCCAAAGCCGCCAAAATCCCGGCGCGACGCGAGAGCGGCCGACCCATCAAACCCCCCAGGAAAGATCTCCCAGATTCCCAACAGCACCAAACTTCCAAGAAAGGGAAACTTTCGGAGCAGTTGAAATATTGTAACGGCATCCTGAAGGAATTGTTGTCCAAGAAACACGCGGCGTACGCCTGGCCCTTCTACAAACCCGTGGACGCGTCGGCGCTGGGGCTGCACGATTATCACGATATCATCAAGCACCCCATGGACCTCAGCACCATCAAGGTGAGTGAGAAATTTTTATTGGAATTTTTTGGGAATTCTTGGGATTTTTTGGGATTTTTTTAGGATTTTTTGGGAATTTTTTAGGCTTTTTTTAAGGTTTTTTTTATTTTTTAAGGGTGTTTTTTAGTGATTTTTTGAGATATTTTGGGGCATTTTTAGAGCTTTTTATGGGAATTTTTTGGTGGTTTTGGGGGATTTTTTTATTTAGGATTTTTTTGTAATTTTTTAGGGATTTTTTTTATGTTTTAAGGATTTTTTTGGGATTTTTTTGGCGTTTCTTGAGATTTTTCCGGTGGTTTAAGGGATTTTTAAGGGGTTTTTTGTAATGTTTTAGTGTTTTCTAGGGGAATTTTTTTAGTGGATTTTTGGAGGTTTTTGGGGTTTTTTTAGTGATTTTCTAGGTGTTTTTTGCAATTTTTAGGGAATTTTGGGATTTTTTGGGGGACTTTTTGGGGTTTTGGTTGTACAAACCCGTGGACGCGTCGGCGCTGGGGCTGCACGATTATCACGATATCATCAAGCACCCCATGGACCTCAGCACCATCAAGGTGAGTGAGAGATCAAGGTAGGGATTTCTGGGAATTTCTGGAATTTTTTTAGAATTTTTTTGGATTTTTTTAGAATTTTTAAGGATTTTTTTTGGTATTTTTTAGGAATTTTTTTGGATTTTTTAGCAATTTTTTTGGATTTTTTTTAAGGATTTTTTGAGATTTTTTTAGGGATTTTTATGGGATATTTTATGTGATATTTTAGGGAAATTTTTGCAATTTTTAGGGGTTTTTTTGAGGATTTTTTTTGGTAATTTTTAGGGTTTTTTAGGGATTTTCTTAGGATTTTTTTTTTTGAATTTTTTAGGAATTTTTAGGGATTTTTTAGCAATTTTTTTGGATTTTTTAAGGGTTTTTGAGGGTTTTTTTAGGGATTTTTAAGGATTTTTATGGGATATTTTTGTGATATTTTAGGGAAATTTTTGCAGTTTTTAGGGATTTTTTTGAGGATTTTTTTGGGGGATTTTGGGTCTGGAAAAATTGAGGTTTCAGGATCCCTAGTGACCCTGCCATGACCCTTCCATGACCCTTCCATGACCCTTCCATGACCTCATTGACCTTCCATGACCCCACTGACCATTCTATGACCTTTTTATGACCCTTCCATGACCCATTGACTTTTCCATGACCCTTCCATGAATTTTCCTTGACTTTCCATGACTTTATTCACCTTCCATGACCTTATTGACCTTCCATGACCTTTCCATGATCCAATGACCCTTCCATGACCTTTCCATGATCCCATTGACCTCCCATGACCCACCATAATAACCCCATTCACATTCCATGACCTTACCATGATCTCATTGACCTTCCATGACCTTTCCATGACCCCATTGCCATTCCATGACCTTTCCATGACCCCGTTGACTTTTCCATGACCCTTCCATGACCTTCCATGATCTCATTGACGTTCCATGACCTTTCTATGATCTCATTGACCTTCCATGACCTTCCATGATCTCATTGACCTTCCATGATCTTTCCATGATCTCATTGACCTTCCATGACCTTTCCATGATCTCTCTGACCTTCCATGACCTTTCCATGACCTCATTGGCCTTCCATGACCTTTTCATGATTCATTGACCTTTCCATGATTTTTCAATGACCTTTCCATGACCCCATGACCCTTCCATGACTTTTCCACGACCCAATGACCCTTCCATGACCTTTCCATGATCCCATTGACCTTCCATGAATGATCCCATTGACCTTCCATGACCTTTCCATGACCTTCCATGGTCTCATTGACTTTCCATGATCTCATTGACCTTCCATGACCTTTCCATGATCTCATTGACCTTCCATGACCTTTCCATGACCTTATTGACCTTTCCATGACTTTTCCATGACCTTTCTATGACTCCATTGACGTTTCCATGACCCTTCCATGATCTTCCATGACCTTTCCACGACCCCATGACCCTTCCATGAATTTTCCATGATCCCATTGACCTTCCATGACCTTTCCATGACCCATTGACCATTCCATGACCCCGTGACCCTTCCATGTCCCTTCCATGACCCCGTTGCCATTCCATGACCCCGTTGACTTTTCCATGACCCTTCCATGACCTTCCATGACCTCATCGACCTTCCATGACCTTTCCATGATCTCATTGACCTTCCATGACCTTTCCATGATCTCATTGACCTTCCATGATCTTTCCATGATTTCTCTGACCTTCCATGACCTTTCCATGACCCATTGACCTTTCCATGATTTTTCAATGACTTTTCCACGACCCCATGACCCTTCCATGACCTTTCCACGACCCAATGACCCTTCCATGACCTTTCCATGACCCCATGACCCTTCCATGACCTTTCCATGACCCAATGACCCTTCCATGACCTTTCCATGATCCCATTGACCTTCCATGACCTTTCCATGACCTTCCATGGTCTCATTGACTTTCCATGATCTCATTGACCTTCCACGACCTTTTCATGACCTCATTGACCTTTCCATGACTTTTCCATGACCTTATTGACCTTTCCATGACTTTTCCATGACATTTCTATGACTCCATTGACGTTTCCATGACCCTTCCATGGCCTTCCATGACCTTTCCACGACCCCATGACCCTTCCATGACCTTCCATGACCTCTTTCCATGATCCCATTGACCTTCCATGACCTTTCCATGACTTACCATGACCTCATTGACCTTCCATGACCTTTCCATGACCCCGTTGCCATTCCATGACCTTTCCATAACCCCATTGACATTCCATGACCTTTCCATGACCTCATTGACCTTCCATGACCTTTCCATGACTTACCATGACCTCATTCACCTTCCATGACCCTTCCATGACCCCATTGCCATTCCATGACCTTTCCATGACCCCATTGACTTTTCCATGACCCTTCCATGACCTCATTGACCTTCCATGACCTTTCCATGACTTCATTGACCTTCCATGACCTTTCCATAACCCGTTGACCTTTCCATGATTTTTCAATGACCTTTCCACGACCCCATGACCCTTCCATGACCTTTCCATGATCTCATTGACCTTCCATGACCTTTCCATGACCTCATTGACCTTCCATGACCCTTCCATGACCCCGTTGCCATTCCATGACCTTTCCATGACCCCGTTGACTTTTCCATGACCCTTCCATGACCTTTCCATGATCTCATTCACGTTGCATGACCTTTCCATGATCTCATTGACCTTCCATGACCTTTCCATGACCTCATTGACCTTCCATGACCTTTCCATGACTTCGTTGACTTTTCCATGACCCTTCCATGACCTCATCGACCTTCCATGACCCAT